GGTTAAAAACTAATTAATTTTTATTTATTAATTCCACACTGTGTTTTGTTTTTCTATGGAATAGCGTGGCCAATCAGTCTAACTCGGGTATAGACATCATATTTTTATTGAATGTTTCTCCTAAGTCGTGATTGATTTTTTACTAATTTTTTTTAGAAATGCTGCCTACTAGCCAGACCGTTAATAAAATGCAACAGGATAATGAAATTGGAAACCCCTTTGAAGGTGAATATTTAGAGAGTAGTGTAAAAAAAAGCCGGCTGCCAGAACTGTGCTGAAACGGCCGGGCCCACTGTGCTACTTTAAAGCTTAACTTTTTTCTATTAAATGCTATTTACTTACATCCTTTTAGGCGTTGAAAATACTGTCGAAGTCAAAAGTGACGATAATAAGTAAGCATTTCACTTGAATTTGGTAACAAATTCACAAGGAATATAATTTTGAACCATTTTTCTCATTACATTGTCATTTCAGGTCAACGAGTTCAGAAGAAGGTCATGACTCACAACCTGAGGACAATCAATTCGTTAATAAAGGAAATCTTTGCATTGAAAATTTGGGTATTGAAACGAAAAAATGCGAACTTATCAATTTGGTTTATTATTATGAATTTAATTAATACAGGTAACTCGCGATCATATTGGTTTGTTTTAACACTGAAAACACTATCTTGGTATGAAAAAGAAGATGAAAAAGACCAGATTTTCACTTTACCATTGAACGGTTTACAATTATATGAAGTCGCACAGAATCCACAATCGCAGAAACACGTCATTGCTCTATTCTATCCGGATGGACGCAATGTTTACCAAAATCAAAAACAATTAAAATTGTCCAGCGAAAATGACGATGACATAAATACGTGGAAGCAATTCTTTTCACGTTCATTTATTAGTGAAACAAATGTAAGATTTCTACAGCGATTCGGTTTTTTTTAATTTGTTGATTATCATTTGATCAATAATCTTTTCATTTTTTAATTTTCCAACGAAGAAAAAAGAAGAACGAGAACAAGTGGATCCAACGCTTAATGGAGAAGTTGAAGTTATTTACGAAAAAATCGATTCATACATGCGCATCGTTAAGAAGACTACTCGTGATATGGTTCCAAAAGCAACTACTTTGTATGTCATTAAGGAGCTTCAAGAGTACATCAACAACACGTTGCTAATAGAGCTTCTTGCTCTCCCAACTGATGTCAATGTAAGGATTATTTTTCAATCATGAGACAATTTAAGGCTATAATTAGTAATGATTTATACTTGCATGTGTTTTTCATAGACAAAACTATTCGCATTAAGTTCAGTTGAGGCTGAGAAACATAAAGAAAAAGAAAAAACGTACGAAGCATGCAAAGAAGCGCTCGAAATCATTCGTAAGTATTTATGTTGACAATCATCTTTATTCAATTTCCAAATCCAAACTAAATTTTATTTTTAAACTGAACAGGAGATGTGTCAATGGAAACTGGAAATGGCACCATAACTGATAATGGATTTTGAAACAATGACTTCAATACGAGTGATGAAGGTAAATCTTATTCACTTGCATTCATTTAACAGTAAACAAGAATATTAAAATATGATTTTTTTCCTTCTTTCGTCGATTATTTTTTCAGTTGGAGGTAACCACATATTAGAGAGTCGCAAAGTTTTGTCGTGACATTAGAAAAATGTTTTTAAAATATCAACTAAGCAAACTGACCAACATTCCATATTTTTTCACATAACTTAATTCAATTTTGCATTACAGATATGCAACAATTTAAAAAACTAAAACTTTACCTTTGTAACTGGTTATATGAAAAATTATTTTAAAAATGTTAAATACACTATCAACTATAACATTTTTCTTCATTTGCTAACATTCTTTGGATTTTTTTGTATAGTCAATTTTGTGTACGATTAATTGAAAGATATGCATTCTGAAATATTTAGACTAATTCACCGAAGATATTCAAATAGTAAACAACGAACGAAACCTATTATAATTTTGCAATAAATCTTAAATGATGAAAAATTCAATTTTAAAATTCAGGCGTTATCTTTGTTCCATTCTTGATTTTCGTTTGAAACCTATTATGGGATTGAATTTTCAAAAGAGAAAAAATAACGATTGATTGCGATGTGCTTTGAAGCGCTTTATTATTGTACACATTAATAAATTCTTATGGAATACTTTCAATTTAAGTTGAAATAAATACGAACGATAAATTCATGAAAAATCGTTTATTCAATGGTGCATAAAAAAATACTGTACGATTTTATGCTTTTACGGGTTGAATAATTTTGGTCCATGCAAATGGATCGTTGGGTCCATCGAGTTCAATTTTATGAATTGATTTTCCCTGTGATTGCAGTTCAGCGAATTGTGAAACAATTGGATCACGTTGACACGATGCCATTCCGCACACATGACCATCTTTGTTCAAAAAGATTGCAACAAATTTCAAATCATCCAAACTGCCAATGATCCGTGTTTCATGAGGTGTACCATAACCTGAATATCTAAATGATTTGCCAAATAATGTAGTCCAAAAATAAGGCACAGCCTTCAAGGCCGTCTCATTTCCGGCCATATTTTTAGCGGCCACATTTCCATGATACTGAGCCAATGGATAATGACCAATTGTTGCTAGATTGTTGTTTATCGTGAATACTGGTGCGTTTGCAATATCGCCTGCAACATAGATATCTTCGACATTTGTTTGTAAGAAGACGTTCGTATCGATGGAACCATCGTCGTTTATATTTATACCGGAATCTTTAAGGAATTCTGTGCATAGAGTTGAGCCTGTGCCCATAATGCAGATATCACATTTGATTTCAGTGCCATCGGTTAGCTCAATAGCCGAAAGAACACCGTCTGTATCAATACAACGTTTTATACCCGATTGCATTTTAAATTCAACACCTTCGGCTTCAAACATTCGCATAATTCGTTCGCCAACCTCTGGACCAAAACTATGACGCAATGGAATCGTATCGCGGCCAATAACGGTAACTTTTGCCACCTTTTTACACAAATAAGCGGCTGATTCGAGGCCAATGAATGAAAGTCCAAGACAAACGACATGCTTTTCTGGTGACACTTGACTGATAATATACTCCGAATCGGTGAACTCTCTAACAACAACCACATTTTTCAAATCAGCACCTGGAATGTTTGGTTTTCGTGCTTTGCTTCCGGTGGCAATCAACAATTTATCGTATTTTATGATAAAACCATTGCTCAATGTCACCGTTTTTTCATCACGATTCACCTTTGTTGCTTCGACCCCAGTATAAGTTTCAATTCCATACTCGTCGTAGAAATCTTGGGTTCTATATTCAATTTTTTTAATTGAAACATCCATTGCTTTACTTAATTTCACGCGATCATATGGTAATGCATTTTCTTTGCAAACCAGAATTATGCGACCAGTAAATCCTTCTTGACGTAATGTTTCCACACAAATACCGCCTAGAAATGACAATTAAAAATTTATCAAATTAATATAAAAAAATGAATCTTAATTTTAAGTGTTCTTACCAGAAGGTCCACCACCGATAACGATAAAAGTAGTGTCATTATTCGGGTCACGTTTAACCATATCTTTCACTCGTTTATTTGCTTGTAAATCACTTCGCTTGGCTCTCACGCGAACTTTTCCCTGATCAACACTGACTTTGTAGCACGGAATCGGATCTTGACCAGGAAAGTCCTCAATATCACCAGTGTGAATGTTAAAACATGCTCCGTGCCATGGACATCTGATACGCCCTTCTGATAGGGCGCCTGTCGACAACAAAGCTCCGTAGTGTGAACATTTCGTTCCGATGGCAGATATAACACCGTTTTGCTTAACAACCAATACTTTTGATCCGTCGTCTATTTCAAATTGTTTCATCTCATTTTCTCCGATATCGTTCTCTTCACACACAATCTTCTCAACATAATCGGCTTCAGGTTGTTGGTCAACCGTAGCATTTCTACAGCTTGATTTTGCATCTGAAAAAATGTACATAACATTAAAATGATTGAATAAGAATTTTTGAACATTCGGTTTTTGTTTTCAACGCAACATTTATCTACTCATTTAGGCTCATTTTATAGCATAGTTAGTAAAATCGTGACATTGGATCTTTTCGCACATTCATCTTGCTAAAAACAACATGCACACAATAAAATTAGTCAAGGTCAATTGACGTCAAATCATTCACTCAATTCGTATGGTTCGTTGAATTATACGGTTGAGCGTTTGAGGTCATCTCATTCCAAATGGAAATGCCATCGTTTTATTCGGTTTTATTTTCGCTACTTGAAATGTCAGATCTTGTGTACTTTGTGCATAAAATCCATTTTTGGCGATTAAATCCGTTAGATTCAAATTCCGACCAAATTCTTTGAAGCTATATTAATGTGAATTTCATGTGACACATTTGTGTCAAGCCATCACATTAAAAATGGAAAATCAACACGATTTAATTATTTTATCGCTAGCATTGCATCGTCAAATACCGAAAATCGTGCTACATTCAACTATGTTCAACATAAGCTTCTAAGTCAATAGTGAATTTTTCTTTTTTTTTTTGAATTGGATTTCAAAGTCCGTGTAGCATATTCGAATCGAATATAAAAATGGAATTTGCATGTTTCAACTCGTTTGGCAGTGAGATTCATGGAAAAAGAAATAAATCTATTCCGGAATTGGAATAAATAGAAGTGGAAATAGAAGACACCCATCATATAAAAATTACATTTGTTTTACATTTGGAAATTGCTCGAAAATGAAAGACGCCGAAATTTGGAGAACATGCAATATAAAAAGCAAAGTTGGTGCAAAAAAAGAACCTAAATGTTAAATTCATATCATCTAAATTTCTAACGTTTTTTTAGCATTTAAAATGTGATTTATTAGTCATTCGAGTTTTAACTTGAACTTTGTCCCTTAGAATTTACGTCAGTGACGCCTATTAGAATGAAGATCTGTGCCAATCTCTTGGAAAATAAAAACTCAGTAGCCGCATTTTGTTATAATTAAAAATAAGTAGTGTAATAGTATACCCGCTATGTGGGTATTAATGGTCGGGATGGTCAATACATTTGCGTGCGGCCTGTCGCTTGTATCAATCGCATGTGGATAAAGAGTACGATTTCGTTCATTCGATAATAATAAACCCAGTTCGTTGACATTGGATAAGGTAACTTGCTTCTACCGACAATAATAAAAATGATTAAAATAGGGGGCCATCCGTATTTGGTTGTGCCATCACACGACTCACTCGAACACAAAAAATCAATAAACATTTAATAAACGGTATTTCATAACGAACGATACAAACTTATTCGTAAAAAAGGTAAATTAACAATCTAGATAAACAATGGCGAATTTGACGAACAATATTCGGTTATAATATTATTGCGGCAATTGTCACTTAATTATAATTCAAAACAAACAAAATAACGTTTGGATTTGAGTTGGTCGGGGAGGGTTTTTTTTTCTTTCACTTGTTTGTGTGTCTACGTACTGAAGCATGAAAAAGGTCATACAAATCATTACCAACAAAAAATAACTATTCTCAATGTGCACAAGAAACACGACAAGAAAGAACGAGAGAGCGAGAGAGATGAAAAAGCCAAGCAAAAGCAAAAACTTCTTGTTTACTTACTCAAAAATCTGAACATTTTTACTCTTTCTTACAAACACACACAATAAATTTAAAATTGTTTTGGATTTCTCCTTGCGTCCGTAACTAGACATGGACAAAAAACGAATTATTTAGATTCGACTGAATAGAATATTGATTGTTTAAACCCACATTCGAAACTGACGACATTATTCATAAATCTTTGCCATAAAAGTCATTCCACAAAGAGTCACTCACACTCACTCACATATGTGAGTACACATTTTGTTTGTAAATATTATCAAACTAAAGGAAATTCAGTTTATTTTTTGAAATGATAAAAATGTGCTTCGGTTTACCCTCTTCATCCTGTACGGTTTTGGTTGATGAGAACGCTTTGCAATTGATTGAACCCATTTTCAATTGAAGAAAATTACTTATCGTCGATTGTGGTTTTCTATAGGCTATTTCCCGCCTAATTCAAAATAAAAATATCAATTATTATCGGAAGATATGGAAATTGTTCCTTATTAGAAACTCCTACCGTCTAACGATTAATGGGGTGTTCGTGACACAAGATCGATTGAAATAATAAATCGTAATATTTCGCTTCGGGCACAAATTAAATCCAACTAAACAAAAATCGAATGGCTTGTGCGATTTGGAATAATAAAGTAAGCGGTTTATATTCGACAACCTGTATTGAAATAAAATCAATGGAAAATAAGTTTGGAATTCGTTCTAAAAAAACTTTTGAATTTGGTTATCTCACTACTACGCTTTGGAATAAAAAAATCATACGATTTTTTCAATTTTTGTAGAAAAAGTTTTAAAAATCTTTATCTATATCGTTAATTCTTTTTTATCTTTATAAGCTAATTTTGCGGTTTTTATCGAAAGAATTGAAAGATAAACACCAACCGCGTCTCGAAGATTTTTTTTATGGTAATTGTTGTGATTATTTAACGATTGTTCAACCAAAAAGCGAATGTTGAGATCAAAGAAACGCTCAAAACGACTGACTCAATGAAAAATGAAAGTTTGACTGATGCCTGAAGTGAGCGTTTATTTGAATCGAAGTGTACAAACCGCCGAATACAAATACACACGAACGGATTGTGTCTGAGTAAATCGAAAAAACCCGCTTAGAATTCAAAGCAACGAAGAGAAAGAAGCACATAACGAAAGAATAACACCACGAAACATGTGAATGAATACGCAAAGTTATGTAATACAATAGTAGATATATACCACTTGTGGCATTGCTCTGGATTTCCCACTTCAAAAATTAACTCCGTTCACTCGTATGCATTGCATTGCTGATGGAATTCATGGAAAATGACAAAATGAAATCTATTCATTAATAAATGACGTAGCATATTAAAGTAAAGACTGTGTGTCTGAAAATACTTTGGGTCGATTTTACCAGAGAAACTATGCCGTTCTTTTGATGAATGGTTTACTTTAAATTCCATATTGTGTGAACAGAATAAAGAGTATTTGTGTGACTCATATTGCAATTGAGATGTCAGATTTGTGGAAACAGGTTTTACTGCTTCTATGACACATATTTTATACTTTGACCTTAGCATTACACTCAAGGAATTGTCCGATTCAATTAATTAGATTTAATACGAATTCTGGCCTCAGTCAGTTCTCTTCATACTCAAGAGATTGACACACAATCTAATCGGGATAGCAGACCCGGCACGTAGCTGATAATTTATTAATTTTCATGTAATACAAAAATCATAAAAAATGATAAAATGATAATGTGAGTGACTCTTTATAGAACTCATTCAGAAAAAAAAAATCTTTATTTACATTTTGAACAATTGTCAATTGAAGAAAGAAAAAAACAAATAATAACTCCAGTTATCACTTTAATTTCACGATTGGTTTATTGACAAGTGCTTCATTTAAAAACACTTTGTAATTTTACTCCAATTCTTGTTTGTGTTGATTTTATCAGAATTTCTACGTCCTATGAAGTGGAATTCAAACACCAATATTCAAGCGAAAATCCATTACAAATTAGATTCTGTCATAGAGAACTGTCAAAGCAACGAATGTGCCTTATGTGTATAGCAGCGTGCAATATTTGTAGTCTGCGTTGATATCATACGAAAATGAAACGAAAATCCAATAAATTTGTTAAAATTGTGCGAGAAGTTCCAATATTTCTTAGTAAACATTGAATTTTCACAAAAAAAAATCCAATTAAATTGATGACATGTATGGCTTCATTTGAATCAAAGTATGCAAAGTTATTTGTGGTAATAGGCCCGAAAAGGCTTTTTATTGTAAGTGAAACCGATGGCAAACCAAAACAACATTTCTAAACAATAACACAGAAATGTTGCCACAATACCTGTGTGACAGAGATAGATGTTTGATATCAGCTAACATTTTTGTGTCTATTTTTGTTGACAAATAAAACAATCTCGTCAGCAGTGCAGGAAGTGTAAATTGACTACTCGTTCAAAATTTTACATAATTTTGATTAATTTTCTACTCGCAGCGCGTAAAATCATTGTCTTAGTTTATTGGAGTTAATTTTTCTTCTTGGAATTTGTCATTCGTACTTTTGTACAAAAGTAATTTGAAGTGAGTGAAAGTTCCATATATATATATTAATATTACGACATTTTTGTCTTTCACATTATACTGCCATAGTGCCATTTCAAATATCGGTCATCATTTTTTTCATTAATGAGAAACTGTGTGTTTCGAAATGCCGTAAACAAATTTATCTCAGTTGAATCAATTTTAAAATGAGCAGGGTCGTGATATTTTTTTTATTTAATCGTAGCTGCGAATTACTAGTAGAATTGTTGGCGAAAGCCCAGCAAAACATTAAATGGAATGTGAAAAACAAGTGAATAACAGTAAAAAGTGACGGTATCAAATAATTTGATTTGTGAAACACTTGTTTATTTGTTATTTGCTGTTTTTCATAGTTATATTTAGACATACAAATGTGAATGTACTTCCGTCAAATATATCTATCCCTCTCTAATAACTGCACTTGAATTTTGCGATAGAAGGAGAAGAAAAACATCTTATAAGCTATTTGCTTTTAACTATTGTTATTTTTTCTACATTTTTTATTAATTTGTGTGTAATTTATGTATTTTTTCGCAGTAAAATTACCTATCTAAAACTATGGAAGAAAAAGCAATTGTACCAATGGAATATTGGCCCTTCGAGTCAGTAAATTATGGAAGCGCGATTTCAATGGAAACCGATTCGGATAGTGATGATGAAAATGAGGAAAAAATTGTAAAAATTGTAAAAATCGTCGACTTGAATGATGATTGTCTTGAGCCGATTTTCCTGAAATTGACCAAGGAGGATCTCGCTAATATCGCCGAGACGAATTTGCGATTTTTGAAAATGGCCTGTTATGCTTTTGCCAGAAATTTTGCACAAAATGCATTCGAAAGTGGATATGATGAGTGTGATTCAGGCCATTTCGAACGATCCATGAATATCATTAAGCATTTTGGAAAATTAATTCGAAAACTCGACTTGTACGATGCGCACAATGATTGTCAATACAATCAAATGATAACGGACGCCTTGTTTGCCACATGTCATGCAAACATAACCGACATTGTTTTTGATGGTGTCGACCAGGTACTCTCATTCATGTCATTTTCACATTCAAATTTAAAATTAACATCAATCTTCTCATTTTTTTTTGGATTAGGATACATTGAATAAAATTCGACGCCCATTTCCAAATCTTATCAATTTAAACATCTACGATTTATCGTTACCGCAAAAAATTGCACAGCTCAATCGATGGTTTCCGAATGTGACAAAGTTGATTTTACGTTGTTCCGGCCTTTTTTCGGAGGAATACTGTGCATTACGTAGACTAAGAAGTGCTGACATTGCGACAATGACTCTTGAAGATATGCAGATTTTTATTCGATCCAATCCTCAATTAACCACATTACGCTTGCGAGTAGATAATTCACAACTGATCAATGGACAACTATTCAATTTTATGGCACAAAATCTTTCCGATTTAGAACATTTAACATTAACAATCAATAATTGGAAACCGGTTGCCTACCAGTTGGTCGATACCAATTTCAGAAGTCTTCGAACATTGACACTTTCGCTGTGCTGGAATATGATCAACGTTCCAAATAATAATCCATCAACCATTGGAATTACATCGCCCGTTTTAGAATCGACCAAAATTAAGGGACTTTATTTCAACGATGCTTGCGTTGATTTTGCTACGCGCTGCCAAAATGTCACGGACATGGAGTTTACAGTTGACGATGAAATGGATACATTCCTTTTTATTCGCTTGGCACAATGGTGCCCGAAACTTAATAAATTACAAATGATTTTTTTACATAATGATGACGATTATGACATCGATGCCGATGGTCTTGTTCATTTGCTTGCCCATTGTCGCGAACTAACAAGCATTACTCTCACCTGTGCACTACGATTCATCGATAATTATAATGAATTTTGTCGAGCTTTTGTCATCGCCAAAAGGAACAATCTTATTGATCAGGCTTGGAATTTGAAGCAAATCATTGAACCATTCAAAACAAATGATATCGAAATTTTCAAATAAATCAAGTCAACTTTTGAAATAGTTTGCGAATGCGTTATGAAGAATGTTGAAAAAAAAAATGTTTAAAATGTTAAAATTTGAGGAATAGGACTACTTCAGTAGTGAAATCATTTGTACATTTTGAATTTTAAAGAAAATTAATTTAATACGAGATATATTCTATCTCCATTGTTTTTGGAAATAAGAGCAACTGTTACCAATATTATAATAAAGGGGGAAAAAGAACAATTAAATTTCCAGAAGAAAATTTAAGAAGGAAAAAAAAGTACAAAAAAAAATCAATTTCAAATGAAAGAAATGTTGAAAAATTGTTTTAGTAATTTTATCCATCATTTTAGAATCTTTACAAAATCTACTGCATTTCAATTAAATTTATGGCATTGTATATAAAATTTTTGAAAAATGGCTTCTACAAACAACATTGAATGATGATTTGTTTGGAATAAAACAAAGAGAGAAAAACATTAACTACATTGTGTTCAAGTTTATTGGGTAAGCCTTTATGACTGAAATATTTGGGGTATGTAATCATTTAAATCGCTAATGTGAATGGTTTCGGAGAGAGTTGTGTCACGATTACGAAGTTTCATGAATCCATTTTCTAGACTGTTTGTATCCACTACAATGCTGTATGGAACACCGATTGCGTCGATTTCTTTGTATTTATGCTCCAAAGCTGACACGTCAGAGAAATGACAATCGTCTGTATTGAGAATTGAAATTTGACTACGCTGAAGTAGCATCGAAATATATTTGGCTAAATCTTTTAGTTCTTTTGATGTTGATGAATCTGTAGAAAACATCTTTTACTATTTGATCGAATTTGACTTCTTTTTTAAAAAAAGACTCACCCTTTGATATACTGTACACAGTACATTGATACGGAGCAATTTTCCTATGAAGACACATTTCACCAAAATCACCAGCATCGATACTATCCAAAACAGTTTCTAATAACGGTAAAAAATGATTAACTCATGATTCAATATATGTTATACTAAAAGACGCTTCCTCACCAATAGCTGCTACCTCAGAAACTGTTGTTGTTTTGATAAATTTGGTTGCATTTTTACTCTTTGCCTCTGAGTTTATCGAATCTACTGGCATCATTTCGATACTTTCAATGTCAATCGTGCCAAATGGATAAGTAGCCTTAATGGAAACCGATTTTGTATCCTTCTCTTCATCCTGTTTCACTTCGGAAATTACGAAACGACCTGGGTTTGCTGCATACTGTTGATAAAATTTATTTTTTTTAGTCTGATTTTTTAATTTATTTTAAATCATACCTTCATCCACCAAAGTTTTCGTATACGTTGTATGCGATAAAAATACTCTTGGCTTTGTTTGTCACTGACCAAATACCAGCAGTTCAACATTTTCGGGTAGTTCTCCAATTGTATACCAATCGATGTGTTTTCATCCGATGCATTTCCGATCATCATTTCTTTCGTGAAATTCTCAATTTCTGTTAAACCAAATGGAACGGATCTTGCGATACGATCTCTCTTCAGAACCAACGCATACTTCTCCAACAGTGATAGATTCTCACCATACTCCAAAAATTCGTCATTGTCATACGTTTTTAAGCTATTCTGTATTTCTTTGCTTTTGAGCAGCCATTGTCGTTCAATGTTTCCTTTTAAATTTGGTGTGTGACTCAAAAAATTTACATTCTTAATTAAATTATTTTCTACATTTGCTGCAAAGTAATTATTTTTTCTACAAATTTCCAAAAATTCGCTTAGCAATTTTGGTTTGGTAAATAATTTCGTGGCCATTATTGTGATTTTTTGAATTCTTGCTCTTCCATCTCAACGGGAACGTTTCCTGGCGGTGCGACGAAACAAACGTCGTCATTTACAGGCGCATTTTTAAGCAATTCCTCTCGAATATTTCCTTCGGTTACAATATCGTCACGCAATTCAATATATTGATTTTCATGCACAAAGTACATTGGCTCCAATCCAGCTGTGTCAATGTGCAGAATTTTACTCGCAAATTCAATTGAGTCTTGGAGATTACGCAATGCTTCTCTGAAAATATTAAGGGTTTTATTATAAATTGATATTTCACACAATATAATTTTTACTCACTCGTCGCTCACATTAACCAGCGATAATCGCATCAACAATTCAATTGTATCTTTGTCTATTTTAACTTTTTCGCTTTTGATTGCATCAGTCGAGACAACTGGTTTTAATGGCACTTTTGTAGGATACTTTATATCGGTGAAATCAAGCGCTGCTTTCTTTGAAGTGGTACCGTTGGTTTGTGTAATGTTATGCACCGTTCTTAGTATGATATTATTGAGAAGACATCGTTTCGATAGTGCTATAAACATGATTTTTTTCAAAAATTTGTTGCTATTTGAGGTTATGTATTTTTGTTTATTACAATTGTTTTTGGCGACACACCGTGTTGGCAATGTTTCAAGAGAATAGCGTCTTTTTTACAAAATCATTTTACAAAAATCAAATTAGCTCATTAACTTCGTATTATTCGACATTAAATTTCGATTTTACGTTACAGTTTCAAGTATTTCATTCCACCTTCAATGAAATCTCAAATGTCAACTGATCTGAACTGTCAAAATTCACTGAAGTTTATTTATTCAATAAGCATGTGTTTATATATTGGTATTTAAACCGGCGATTCAAAATAATCTCTTTGTGAAAATGAGTAGCTCATCATCAGATTCGGAGGATGAAAATCTGGCTTTATTACGGCAGGCTGTCGACACAAATTTTATCAGCGATGACATGTTTACGACGGGTGAGTAATAGTTTGGAAAGTAATTTTTATTGTTGGCAGAGTTCTCAAAGTGATTCGGTTCTTAAAAATTTGTTTCTATTCAGTTGCTTCATCAGCCAATGAATCAACACCAAAAGACACAGAAGACATAAAATTATCAGCAAAAATCAAACCAATTAAGCCAACAACTTCAGGTCAACCATTGAAATCTCAAAGATACATTGAGAATGATGAGATTACGGCTGATCTGAATGTGCCCAAATCGATGCAAGATTTTGTTTACAAGAAGATGTCGAAGAAAATCAACGATTCGGTGGAATTTATTGAGACACCTACAAAAGAGATTAAAAATGAAAAGACTACAAACGATGACTTCAATTGTCTTCGCTTGCTGAATGATACCGAACCCATTAAGATAATAGACTTAATGCCTCAACATGATATTCAACCAAATGGTGGTAAAAAATTTGAAATAAAGCGACGTATAATCGAAGCAGATGAATATACCGATGAAGAGAAGTTGAAAATGGCTTCCATTGGTGGTGATAGTATTCTGGAACAGACAGAGACAAAAGGTTGGAAAGCAAAAAAAGTCAAACCAAATAAAATGTACAAGTATCGTGAGAAAAATTCCGTATTGTATGCCGTTGAAGAGGAAAATGAATTCACAGCGCTTCGCAAGAAAAACAACTGGAGTGAGAGTAAAATAGGCCAGTTTCCATGGAAAAATCACAAAACGAAATATTAAAATTAGTTATTTTGACATTGTTTTTATTTATATTGGAAAATAAATCTTCAAATCAAACGATGGTTTCTATTTTTTTAGTCTTTATCACTAACTAACTATTATATCTCAATTTAAGCTAATAAATTTTGGGCTTTAGAACGGCTTCATCGAGAAGTTTGCCGAATGTTTCGCGAATTTCGTCCATCATTTTATCGACGGACAGTGCTTTACGTGATTGAACTCGTATCTTCGAACATGGACTCAATGACAACGATGGCAATGATATCGATCGTCCCAATGATGATTGTGCATCGGCCAGTCGGCCCAATTGCATCAATATTAAAATACATTCTTCGATCAATGGTGGAAATGCTTCAGCAAATCGAACCAACGATGGCAAAACTGATCGAAACATTTCAATCCGTGTATCAGATGTAAGTAGGCCGAGCAATGTTGATAAAGAGTTTATGCATAATTTGGCCAAGTTTAGTGATTTCGGAAAAGCGTACTGCAGCGACAGATATGACGTAAGATCGATAGCGAATATTTGTTTGCTCATCTCTTGCATTCCAAGTAGCTCAGGTATGAAATCCATACAGATGTGCATTGATGGTATACCGCGAACGGTGACGGCAAGTAAATCGTGTGAATATCCTTGAAAGTGCACCAATCGTGCCATTGATGGTTCCGAAATGAATACATGATGAATGTATTGACAAATTAATCCACGAATTTCGCGCAATACGGTGTCTCGACCAACAGTCGAACGATCTTCGTCGGTTTCCAAGCATGCTTCAAGCAACATTTGAACAGCTGCACTTTCTTGTGATGCCACCAATGCGGTTCGTAGATCTTCACGTTCAGTTTCTGATTGAATTTGACCAAGTCGATCTTGTTGCAATGGTTTATCTAAAATGTGTCGGGCCAATTGACTTTTTGATGCGGCCAAACTGGCTTGTAATATCCGTAAAACGATTGTCAACGCAACCGGACATCGAAAAACTCGTTCATCACATCGTAACACTAGAAGTGGATCAAAGGTCATTTCTTGTGGCATCGTTTGGACTTTTATGACATTATCCTCTGGCATCAATGCATTTATTGTCATGACCCAAAGACGACGCGGTAAAACTGTATTCAAACGAATCCAGACTTGTTTGTAGAGATCTTGAATGAGAAGTGGAACGGTATCTTTTAAAATTCGTCGAAAATATGAAATGAATATTTCGGCCAGTGGCCATAAGTCGGATGGTGATTTCTTCAGCATGAAACGAAGTAATTTTATCACTTTTGATGGACATGTGTCGATTTCTTCAAACGCCTCCAATACATGAAACGATTGAATTTGCACCTTTGAGTAATGCGTTTGCTGTAGTGCTTCCTCTTCAATCCAGTCTTCAACCAGTGATAAATGCGGAAAATGTGTTATTAATAGTTTTAACAATGGACAAAATAATCCACTAAAATCGTTGTGATTTCGTTGGGCTTGCAGCAGCAGATATTTGATGGGAAGTTCATTTAGAAATTCGGTTGGATAACTCTTTATCTTGCGACCCGTTGCCAATAATGTTGACATATTACTCAATCGAACATCCTCATAAAATAGTAAATAGTATAAAAGCAAAAGCTGAGCCGTTATATTTGAGGTGCATTGGAAATCATCTTCCATTGAAACGCTCTCCGATGATGGTGATTTTACGTCGAAATCCTCACCTTTCTTTGCTACACTTAGAGTACTTCCAATCACCGAATTACGAAATACTCGCAAAATATCCTCTTGTGATAACGGTTTGGTGGTGTGTTCGACGGGCCCTTTGGCCGTCGGAACAATAATCGAATTTACGTATACTTCAATCAATGACGGTAAAACGGGATGTAATGGTGTTGAACTACAGCAGATCTGGCGGTAGATCCATGACTTGATCGGAACTTTGTGCTTTGTGAATGCTCTTGATTTTAGCAATTGATGTATGCAATGAACAGGCAGATAACCGACCATATTTGCATTCAAATTCGATGTAACCGGTACTTTGACAGCGTGTGCGGTTACAACTTGTTCCGTGAATATTTCTTGTGTGAAAATTTGCTTCATTCGTGTTGTGTTATTTTGACGCAATGGAATTTTCATGCCCAATGTCGAACACACCAATTCACAAATGGCCGACACCTGATTGCTGTGAAAATGAATGGCCATTAACAGTAACATTTCGCCAAATGACGCGCTGACACCGCTGTTTGATTCAAAGTATGCTTCCTCTTTGATCAACCACTGAACCCATTCGATTCCCTTTGCTTCTTGAACTGGTTGCATGATTAACGATGGGCATGCAATTAACATACATAAAGCAATCGATACAAAACGTATACCGGATGGTGTTGGTGGCGGCTTTTTCGATGTGACCAATTGCATGATTTTTGATACTTCGTCATCGTTGAATCTAATTGTAATGAAATCAATTTTTTTGGTTAAGATTTGTCGACATAATTTTTTTTTGTTTGAGTATGATTGAACACTCACTTTATTCCAGCAATTCCACGCAATGCACAATATAGCCGAAGAATGGCCGCACCTTGAATCACATACTCATCGGGAAGATTGGAATTTTGTGATGATTTTAAGATATTTTGCAATTGTTTCAACAATTCATCACGAATTGCTTGCAAAGCATCATTTTTACGCTTTTGATTTGTACGAACGTACAATGAAAACCAGGATCTTGTATTTTGATCATTTCCCAATAGTAGGCTGGATACGAAGGCGATCTGAAATTAAATAAATAATATGTCATTTGGGGATATTTTAAATTAAAAATATCAACAAAAAATCATTTACCAAATCATTTGTATCTTTTAAACTCAATTTCAACATGAGCGACGGCATTTTTCCCATTTCTACGCAGAGTGTTCGTGTGGAAATGGCTTGACCTGGATTCATATCACACAATGCATTTAGTGCATTCGAACGAAGTCTTCCTTCGGCGGTTTCTTCATCGCCATTTGATATTAATGCCGTTACAACTATAATCGAAAATTGAAAGCGTTTTTGTTTTGTAATCTTTGTTTTTATTGATAATAAATTAACCAACCTTCTTTAAAGCAATCGGGCATATTGGCAACGATCCAGCAAATGATTGTGCTGCCATTGTTGACGTAAAGCAGTGTCTCAATGACTTCTTGAATGTTAAAAAGTGATGGCAGTTCAGCCAGTGCAATGCATATAATATGTGTAATCTCCTCCAGATAAATATCATTGTCAAACAGTTCGGACTGTTTTTGAATATTGTCATTTGGTCCGCGAACCGCATTCAATTGATTTTGTTCAAATATTTGCGATTGAATGTAAAACAATTCGGATAAAATGATGCGTACTTTTTGTGTAATTTCGGCACGTTCAAAGCCGAGTGCAACGCCATTTTGCAGACCATGAAATTGTGCTGAATCTTGGTTCGAATTGCCAATTTTTTGTCTAAAATTTCCAAAAGTTTTTCATTATTTTAATTCATAATCTGTAGAAATTAAGAAAAGTGAATAAATTTACCTCAATTGTTGCTCTTTGCGAATGTCAGTTTCAAGTTCATGGAAATCGATTTGTAGCAATGCTACAATATTATTCACCTCAATAATGCCAGCCAAAAGTGACAAAATCTGTGCTATTGAATCGATGGTTGTTTTTGTATTATCAAGTTTTTTTAATGTGGCCATACGCACTAAACACGGTAGCAATGGTCGTAATTCATTTTCGTCACATTTTGTTAGTTCAGCAATGGTTAAATTTTGCATTGCCATGAATGCACGTGAACTAACCGGTATCATTTTGTGGTTTGGCTTTTCTATTTCTTTCAAAAACAATTAACTAAATTATTATATGTAATAAACAAGATGGCCTTGGTCTAAACCAAACAATTAAAAACAACACTTTCGCAATAAACAATGTGTCAATATCCAAACAATTAAATGATGACCAAACCGAAATCCATTCCAACGTATGTGTACATCGACATATTTGTTTCGACAATAAAAAGAAATTGTTGTTGTCAAATTTCATTTCAGCAGAATTTTTTTCCACTGCTATCTTTGACTTTTGTGCATGTATGTGTGTATATTCATATCAGTGTAACGATGCCTGTTTATTGCACATCGTACACACACAATAGCTGGCGCGCGCTTCGTGTGTGACAGTGTACGTGTGTGCATGTGTGTGATGTGTCTTGAGTGACAGTTTAAAGTTTTGACATTTTGCAAGCGGCTTCTTTATTGCTGGTACTAACACACACGACCACGATAAAAAAATATTTGTATATGTATAACGAAATTACTAATGGCTGTCAAATGTTGAAACAAGCTTTCGTTTTTGTTGTTTTCTTTTTCGTTTGCAAAACAAATTAATTAAATACACATTCACTCGAATTCACAATTTATGTAGAAAAAAAAAAAAAGTAAAATAAAATTAAGAAGACAACAAACAGCCGATTTATCATAGTTTTTCTCCATTGTAAATATATAACAATTGCAATTGTGGTAGCCCATTGAACTAAATAAAAGGTAATAAATTTTGTTCTCTCTCATTTCATATAAAATATATGCATTTTATAAAATCGAAATTCATAAAATTGTGAACAAATGTTGTGTGTGATAATTATCACAAATGTAAATGCGTAAATTAAAAATTGCAACAAAGGTCAATGCTATTAATCAAATAGAAAAAATTGTTTTGATTTTACAGAGAAAACACCGTTTTTTAGGGGTGTTAGATAGACAAAAAAAATAAGGCAAGTAAAATGCTAAAGGGAAAAGACACAGTATCTTTTGAGGATCACTGGCCTGCTTTGCGACCGACAGTATTAAAATTATTGAAACAGGAATCCGTCTCGAAAGCAGAATGGCAGGATTTATTTTACGGTGTGCATTTAATATGCCTTTGGGTTGATAAAGGCGGTTCAAAAATCTACGATAGCCTAAATGAAGACATTCTAGCATACATAAAACAAGCTCAAGTCAATATAATGGCACAGCGTGAAGAACAAGCTCTCATAAATGCATACATTATTGAATGGCGAAAATTTTTCACGCAAAGCAATTATCTGCCGTCACCATTTCGTCAATTGGAGTTAAGCAAACAACAAATTTCAAACAATAATCAAGGTTCAAGTAATAGCTCGAATTCAACAATTGCATCTGGTGCGGCGGCCGCATCATCATCGTCAGCAAATAATGCGAATAGCACGAGTGGCAGTAATTCAGCACAAAAGAATTCATCGCATGGTGAAACATTGGTGCGTGAACTTATGCTGAATTTATGGAATGAAGGCATTTTCAAAGACATCACCTACCGTTTACAAGAATCGGCAATGAAACTTGTTCAGGCTGAACGTATCGGTGATGCATTCGATTCACAACTTGTGATTGGTGTACGTGATAGTTATGTTAATTTATGCTCAAATCAAGACGACAGACTGATGATTTATCGCGAAAATTTTGAAGCTGCATACATTAAAACAACGGCCGATTTTTATCGTTTAAAAGCTCACGAACAATTGCAAGCGCATGGTGTACAAGCATTTATGAGGTATGCCGACACCAAATTGCGTGAGGAAGAAGCCCGTGCCCAACGTTATTTGGAACCGAGCAGTTTTGATGGTTTGAAGGCGGCTTGTGTATCGGTTTTGGTGAAAGATCCACTGGCAACACTGTTGGCCGAATGCACGCCACTCATCAAATCCGGTGATACCGATCGATTGCAGCTCATGTTTCGACTTTTAGATCGTGTTACTGATGGCGTTGAACCGATGCTTCATGATCTAGGTATTTATTCAAAAAAAAAAAAATTCCATTTTTTTTTCCATTCCAAAAACCATTTCGTTTGATTTTATTTTTTCAACAGAAAGTCACATCGTAAGTGATGGATTACAAGATATGGTATCAGCAGCTGATATCATCACAAATGATTCGGAAAAATATGTTGAGCGATTGCTTGAACTGTTCCGTCGTTATAGTGACTTAGTAAAGGATGCATTTAATAATGATCCACGATTTTTAACGGCTCGTGATAAGGCATTTAAGACGGTGGTTAACGATACGACTGTATTTAAGCTGGAATTACCATCGTCAGCGGTGGCACGTACCAATAAATCCACAACACCCGAAAGTAAATGTCCCGAATTGCTTGCCAACTATTGCGATATGTTATTGCGAAAGACAGCGCTCAGCAAACGTTTGACCAATGAACAAATCGAAAGCAGACTTAAAGATGTCTTATTGGTATTAAAATATGTAAACAACAAAGATGTGTTCATGCTTTATCACAAGGCCCATTTAACTCGACGGTAAGTCTTGTTTAAAATGTACTTTTTTTTTCTTCTTTTGGATGAAAATTAATCACAACTAAACATTCGTTTCACAGTTTAATTCTGGACTCAAGTGCCGATAGTGAAAAAGAAGAGAATATGGTCGAGTGGTTGCGTGAAGTGGGTATGCCGGCTGATTATGTAAATAAATTAGCACGAATGTTTCAAGATATTAAGGTTAGCGTTGATCTCAATGTTCGTTTCCATGCATCGACCGCCCGTCATGATGCGATCAATATAAAAATCCTAAACGCTGGCGCCTGGGCCCAATGTACTGAACGTGTTTCGGTTAGTTTACCGCTTGAGCTCGAAGATTATATTCCAGAAGTAGAAGAATTCTATAAGCGACAACATGCTGGCCGTAAATTACAATGGTATCACCACATGAGCAACGGCACGATAACATTCACGAATGAGATGGGACGTTTCGATTTGGATGTGACAACATTTCAAATGGCTGTATTATTTGCATGGAATCAACGGCCTGACGAGAAAATCTCATATGAAAATCTACGCTTAGCTACCGAATTGCCCGATCCCGAATTACGTCGTACACTTTGGTCATTGGCCGCATTTCCAAAACTTAAAAAACAAGTCATATTGATGGAACCACCTGCACAGCAACCGAAAGACTTTACCGAAAATACTCAATTTCGTATTAACGAAGAATTTGTCATTGTGAAAAATGGGAAAATTCAACGTCGCGGCAAAATTAACTTAATTGGTCGTTTACAACTTAGCACGGAACGATCGCAACAAGAGGACAACCAATCAATTGTTCAGCTACGCATTCTACGAACACAGGAAGCCATCATTCGAATCATGAAAATGCGTAAAAAATTAAACAATGCCTCACTCCAGGTTGAATTGATTGATATTCTGAAGAATATGTTTTTGCCGTCAAAGAAGATGATTAAAGAACAATTGGAATGGTTGATTGAACACAAGTATATGCGACGAGATGACGATGATATCAATACGTTCATCTATGTGGCTTAGGGATTTTTCATTTTTCTTTCAACAGCCAAATTGCGGATGCAATTTTCACCCGTTTTTATTTTATTTTTCACACAAAAACAATTTTATTTGAAGAGAAAACAAATCGATAATTGTTTTCATATTATTTTGCTCTTAAATTCATAGATGCTTGCGATTCCATTGTTTTAATTTTTTTTTTTTGAATTTTAAATCAGTTATGAAAATATGTTCCTGTGAAAAAAAGATGTTACGATCAAAACCATTGGAAAGTGGAAGATTTTTTAAAAATATTGCACATAACAATTGTATAAACTGACAAATAAAGATGATAACAAGAAAAACAGATGCTCACGGTGTTTTTGTTCTTCTCCTGAAAATGTTGAAATGTTGAAAATAAAGAGGAAAAAGAAAACAAATATCTCGCTTTGTAAATATCACAGTTCATTGTTGATTAATGAAAGAAAATGAAACGCTGTGTTGTGTGATCTTAAAATCAAAAGGCATTACAAACTACACCATGTTTAAGCGAGGTGCAATGCTTTTGCATGGTTTTATTAATAGTACATTCAGTAATTTTTTTTGTGTGTGTGTGGAAAAAATGACATTCACTGAAATGAGTGAAATAATAATTGAAGCTATTGACAAATCGATTGTTAATAATAAGTCTACTTCTTTGCAAAAGTAATCTTCATGGCGTGGGTCGGTGTAATTTTGAAACCCTGCAGAGCCTCTTTGGCAGCGCTACTCTGCAATTCAGTTGCAAACTCAACGAATGCAATATCGTGCCGATTGGGTACCAATCGAACTTCTTTGAAACCAGGAAATTGATTGAACAACATCGACAACATCATTTCGTTGGTCTCCTCCGGCAAATTTGTTAAGAACAAAATTTGATTTGGTGGCTGCTCAGCCGTTGGATTAGTAGCGCCATCGGCTGCACCGGGAGTCTTCTTCTTTTTCTCACTGCAAATATAGAAATGTGAAAAAGTAAATAAATCGATCATTAATCGTTAACAGGTATATATTTCTAAAACCAAATGTAAACATACCGTTTTTCATCGGTCGACGGAACAGGTTTGGGTTGTTTGACTTTCTTTGGTCTTTCTTTGAATGTTCCCTTGATTTTGGCAATGACATCGCTGTCCGTTTTTGAGTATGCGATTCGCATTGGCTTATCATAAAATGGGAACCCTTGCATTGTGCGCAATGCATTTGTGGCGCTTGAAATCTCCTTAAATATGACAAAGGCTTGTCCGCGCATTTTCAGCGTTTTTAATGCCACAATATCAAGAATTTGACCAAATTGCGAGAAAATAGCGTACATCGATTTCTTAAGATCATCTTTTTTCACTTTCTCATTTAAATTGTTGATGTAAATGGTGTGGCTTGGGCGAATGTCCATTGTTTATTTTTATGTTGATATACAACTGTTGAAAAATTGATGTTTAGCAATTAAATTTTCAAATTAAATCGATTCAAACGAATAAAAATGTAATTTTTGTGATAAAATTGTCGCTTACCTCTCAAAATTTAAATGTTAAAAAAGCAATTACAAACAACTCGCACTGCTAGACCAAAATGCGGCTTTACGTTTATGACGCGTTCGTTTGCAAATGAGGTTAGATTTTGACAGTAAAAAAAAATGGCCTATCACATTCGTCAACTGTGTATGTATGCATATGCATGTACGTGTGTGAGTTTAATGTTCAGCAAATAGTTTTCTTCTATTCAGCACATTTCAATGACAGATCTTGTAATCACTTGTAAATTGACGAAAATCGATCGCAGTATCTTGTTAAATTCCTACATTTTGAAATAAACGAAACCTAATAAATTAACAGTAATCAGTAAAATTGTGGTAGCAAAATACGCTGAATTTTAATTCAGAGAAGAGATGCAATTCGGTGAAATGTCGGGTGAAAAGAAACCGTGCCGAACGTGCACGGATTTCAAAACATGGGCGAAACACCAACAAAATGTGTACAAAGCAAAAACTAAAGTGAGCCTATTTTTTTCTTCCGTTTATTCAATTAAAATGTATACATTTTGTATATTTGATTTAATTGCATTTTTAAGGAAGATAATAGTCAAACGAATCCGGATAAACCATTGAGTGAAACAGGCCGATTTAAACACGGGTGCCCGTTGGATAAAGACGATTTGGGCCAGTCAACATGGAATTTGTTGCATACGATGGCAGCTGTTTACCCCGATAAGCCAACGCAGCAGCAAAAGGAGAATGTGACAAACTTTTTTGGAATTTTATCACAAACATATCCGTGCGATGTTTGTGCTAAAGATTTGGCCCAAGAGTGAGTGAATCATTATCAATATGATAATTAATTTATCAAACAGTTTCATAATGTTAATTGTTTGCATTTCAGACTAAAGGTCGAACCAATTGTTGCCACATCGAATAATGACTTTTCGCAATGGTTATGCCGGTTACATAACAAAGTCAATGTAAAACTAGGAAAACCCGAATTTGATTGTTCCAAAGTGAATGAAAGATGGCGAGATGGCTGGCTGGATGGTTCTTGTGATTAAAGTCCACTTAAAATGTCCAGTATATGAATGTCAATCTTCTTTTTGTTTATTGTTAATAGAGAAAATAAATGTTGTTAAAATTACAAATCGAAATTTCTGTTATTTAAATGTACGATTGAGCAATGAATAAATTATTGTTTAATTCAAAACAATCACGGCCACTGACTTCAACTTACATTCACGGCCATTATTTACAAATCTAGTTGAATTTCATCACTTCTTCTGATTCAGGTTTACAATAAAAATTACATACAAATAAATGTTTCTCGCAATTTTGCATTCAGCACCGGTAAAATTAAAACCAATTTCATCAAATCAATTGACTATAAATTGCATTCGATTCTGGATGCAAAATCAGTCAAATAAGATTCCTTGCTTCCTATTGCATTCAAAAATGAAATTTTAAATTCCTTGCTCTATTCTTTGTCTATGTTGTTGGAATTTGCATCGGCATATATATACTCCATTAACTAGCCACAGATGGATAATAGAAATATTTACTTCGGTTGGTTTTATTCAATACTTGCATTGGTTTTATTGAATTTATCTTATAGAAATACTAATAGCATAATTTACTATAAATCATCCCAATCTTTAAAATAAGGAAAATTTGGTGATACAGATCTGTTTTTTTAAGGAACAAACTAAAATATAAATAACTGACACGACAAAAATTTGTCAGGAAAAAAAATCACTCAACGAATACAGTATATGGCCTGTATACACAGTCTCTCATTATTTATCTCATTAGAATGTCTGCCGTGCTCTTCCTCTCATATCGATACCTGCAAAAGAAACTTTCGTTCACTCATATAACTTCAAATGAATAAATTGAATGTGTTTTACCATGTTTTCTCATGGTGTGATTTCTCAAATTTGCCGAACTTGTGGCAGCATAACTGCAGTGTTCGCATTGATATGGTCGGTAGCCTGTATGTGTCCGAACATGTACCTATAAAAATATTTTTTTTTTTTTAAATGTTATAATGGATTAATTAATATGAATTCATGAAATATCTTTGATGAAAAATAATTAAATTAGTTGATGGACATTTTTGTGACGTCACTTACATTAAGTAAACCTTTATGTCTGAATCTTTTGTCACAGTATGTGCATGGAAACGGTAAAACTTCTAGATGGCCAACCATGTGCAGTTTAACGGCGTTTTGATCATGATATCGTTTACCACAAACATCACAAATAAACGGTTTTTCTTCCTCGTGAAGCTTCATGTGCGACTTTAGTCTAGGCAGAGTTTGTAGTCTGTAAGAGAAAAAAGGACGTTTTTTGTTTCGATTCTTTTTTTTATTATTCCAAATTAACTCACCCTTTGCCACAAATGTTACAGGGGAAAGGACGCACATCGGCATGTTTAATCATATGTTTGCGTAAGCTACATCTCATATAGAAACTTTTCCCACATTTATCGCAAACATAGTCGTTTTGTCCTGAAAAACATTAAAAACACACAATAAGCATCGAACTGTTAAAACCACGACCATCACCAAAATCTCACTTGAATGCTTATTCATATGATCCTTAAGAGCTCCTTTCAAGCGATACTTTCGCTTGCAAATGTCACATTCGTACATTTCTGTTATGTCTCGTGGCGAACAAACCGTTCGAATGTGTTTTCTTAAGCTGCCAATGTTACGGAAATTTTTGTTGCACTTTTCACATTTCGGCTCCGGTGCACTTGATTTCGATTGTTGTTCATGTTCTTCACGATGGTACTTTAATTGGGTCAAGTCCCAGAAATATTTTGAACAAAAAGTGCAACTAGAAAATAAAAAAAAAAAATCATCACATAAATTTCAATCGTTCCGAAATATCTCAATTGTATGACCTTACCAATAAGTAAGATGTGGCATATGTCGATAGCTAATGTGCACCACCAGTGATTGAAGTCTTTTGCATACTTGATTGCAGTAGAGGCATGGAAACGATCTTTTCATCAGAAATTGTGAGTGTGTCGTCTGGTCATGTGTGTGAAATTTATTAAATCCCCGTGCGCTGTAATCACAATCGTTACATTTGAATCGGCAATCGTTCCATGTTTTAGTTTCGATTTCAGCCAGATATAGTTCTATTTTGGTGAGTCCTTCGTCGGTGATTGTGCCATCTGCATTGCATTCATTTTTCGACACAATTTTCAAAAAGTTGCATTGCTTTGAAACTTTCTTTTTCTTTTTGACTTTTGGTGCTTTTCGTACCGAACGTCTTGAATCTCTCGAATGATCTGATTCCGTATCACTGGCACTGGTCGATACTTCGTCGGGTTCTTCCACCTCTTCTGCTTCCATGTCTGGTTTAATTTCGATGAATTCATGGTCGGGCTCGTTTTCGTTTTCGATTTTAAATTCTAATTGGTTCGATGAAAAATGGACAATTTGAAGCAATTTTTGCTCTGATTCGGTAATTCGCATGGCAAATCGCCAACAATTTTCCAATTGATTAACACAATCATTGCAAACAGTTTGAGGAATTTGATACTCTTCATTCGATGGTTTCCACATACAACATGCCATCAATTTCTCTTTAATGCTCCGATCGAATATTGTCCTTTTTAATTCGCATTGATTGCGTTTTTCGGCGCACAAGCGACAATATGAAAACATTTTTTTTTTTTTTCAAATTTACTCTTTTGGTTTTCACTTTGATTTGTTTATGGACACTTTCATTTATGTTTAAGCTTGCCGTTTTTCTTTTCTCCTTTTTCGCATTTTGACAGTTGCATTGTTTGATGTAAATGTCAAACGAACTGTCATATTTATGAGTATATGCAATAGAATGTGGAAATAGTAGTTTGTACACAAGTTCAGCAACATTTTCGTCAAACTATTTTTTTCTTGTACAAAAATAACATAAAAATGATGTGAAGAAAATACGACAAAAAGGAACATTTGAAGAAAAAAAACAATGGATGTAGTTCCAAGTGATGTCGGAAAAAGAAAGAGAGAGATGGAGTCTTCGGGAACAAATCAAAGATCGAAGATACAATATTGTGTTGTACGAGATTGCACAAATTTCCGTGGATCAAAAGATCTAGGTACCTATTTTTTCACGTAAGTCACGACCAATTCGTATTTTAAAGATAGACAGCATTCTTATCTAATCATATATTGTGATTAACATTATTTTAGACTGTCAAGCCTTAATCTTTCAGTGGAAACACGAAACAAATGGGAATTGGCTATAACTGGCAAGCAAACTGGCAATATGTATATCGGAAAGATTTGTGATCGCCATTTCAAGCGTGATGATATGTACTACAGAAAAGGTGTACCATCTCGCTTACGACCTGAGGCATTTCCTGTCTTGCATTTGCCGCAATACACCACAAAAAATGTCACGTAAGTGTATATTGTTTTTTTTTTTCTTATTTTCAAAAAAAATATTCAATCTAAATAAATTCTCACCACAGGCAAGAGGCAAATCCTCTATTTGGTGAACTGAAGCTAGTTGATATTGATGCAATTAAAAACAATACAAATGACACCGAATTGATTAAAAATAGGTGAGTAAACACAGATTGATTGTATTCATACGGTACTATTACTGCTGTATATCTTTTGAATACACTGCAGGCTGCAGAAAGAGGCCATTGATAATATTTGCGAATTTCTCTCAGGTTTTCCAAGCAATCGAGTCTATGTGAACATTGCACTCAAAAAGATGTGAAAATAGAATCGTTAAAAGCAAAAATATTCGATTTAGTGAGAGAAAATCAACAATTCAGAGATCGAATCAAAAACATGGAATCTATGTTGACAAATGGTCAAACAAATAATGAAATAATTGAATCGTCAACATTAGATGGAATAGACGAATTGGAGCAAAGTGTTTCGGCAAAAAAAATTGATTTGCCGCAATCTCTTGAGACGGTGCATATAAAAGTGGAAGCTGACGTTGAAATAAGTGAACCAATCGAACAGTCAACATTGCAAGAAGTAGTCAAGGTGGAGCCAAAACAAGAGTCGAATCCACACATCAATAAGTGTAAGTCACAAATATCGTTTTGTATAAACCATTTTTTGATTACTTTTTTCTTCGAATTTTCTAGATTTCAAATGCGGCGAATGCGGAATGACATTCCAAAAGCCACTGCAATTAAGTTTCCATATGCATAGTGCACATCTGAAGATGAAACGTAAGTTTATTTTTTCAGCCATAGTACCAGTTGATAAGCAATCAAACATAAATTATGTTTAATAATGAATTTTATTGATTTTTCTATTTCGAAACCGGCACATTTTATAGTTTTTCAATGCAGTGAATGCAATAAGACATTCGAGGAACCACTGAACCTAAAAGAACATGTCCGTTATATTCACAACAGACCCAAGGAAACTAAACGTGTTCGATGTTATTTGTGTAAACAAAAATTTAGTTCGCGAGAGGAACTTCTGGCACATAGAGGCGATGCTCACAAGAAATGTCCCAAAAAAATCAAATCTTTTCAATGTGTTTTGTGTAAATTAGAAATTGATTCCAAAGAGGCGCTTCGGATGCATATGAAGCTACATTCGCGAGACCATCTATGCGACGTCTGTAAAGTGCCCTTTACTTTGGACGAATTGAACAATCATTTGTGTGACAACGAAGGAAGCGTTTGTTGTGAATATTGTCAACAGACTTTTACAACAACAATCAAATTGTTAGAACATCTTGGAACACATGACAAGAAAAAGTTTTATCGATGTGATGAATGCCCGAAATCGTTTCCAATGATCAAACTTAAACAGTATCACATAACAGTATCACACTCAAAGCCAAAATTGTTCACTTGTACAATATGTCGCAAGGCATTTGCAACAAAAAGATCTCGAACAACTCATGAAAAATCACACAATGCCGTAAGATGTAAGAATCAACTTTGGATCACAATTTGGAATGATTGGCTTATCGTTTTGTTTTGTTTTTTTTTTTAGCCCATCTCTGTGATGAATGTGGACGAGGGTTTCGATCCGCTCGAAATTTGAAATTACATAAAGAGTCAAGTATGCATGCTGCAGAGGCACTTTTTCAGTGTCCTGACTGTCCACATAAATGCTACAGAAAAGATCAGTTGAAACGACACAGTGTAATCCATAGCAATGATAGTTTCGTTTGCGAGATCTGTACCGCCCAACTTCCATCCATGAAAAATTTAATGCGGCATATGACACGACACACGAGAACTGAGGCCAACCGAAAATATGCCTGCTCACTGTGTCCGATGAAATTTTTTTCAGCTAAAGTATTAAAGGAACATCAGGCTGTGCATGGCAATGCCAAATGTAAATAGCACCACCACTTTATTTGCGTTTTTGACTTTATTAATTTGAACTATTTATAATTCTTTGCAGTACACGCTTGTCAATATTGTGAACAATCTTTTAAATATGCTGGAGACTTGTATAAACATTTGAAAATACATCTTGGCGAACTGCGGTATCAATGTGAGAAATGCGACAAACGATTCAAATATAAAGTAGAAGCAGTTCAACATGAATTTGAGCACTATAAACAAGAAAAAAATGAAAGAAATGAAATTGAATAGTGTTCTGGGTCTGGTTCAGTTTTTTATTCTAATATGCGATAATATGAATTAAATTTTAGGGAAAATAATTAAAAATAAATTCAAAAAAGCACTAAATCATTTTGTTTTAATTATTTTTTCTTAGCATAAAGTAATTTGTTTGGAGCTGCTATTTCTCTTGTCTATTTGTTTATAAACAAAAATGTATGCATGGCTCGTTGACAGAACACCAATTGTTTGACATAAATGTCAAATAATCTGTCAAACTTCTAAATAACATATTATGTGAGCATTATTGTTTCGTGCGTCTATGAATACAGTTTTTGTGAAAACTTAAATACAAATTACGGTAAATAATGACAAATACACTAAATACAAATTGAAACAGCTGACAAAGAATAAAAAATAAAATAAAAATATCAAAAACGAGCCTGCACAATGGAATCTTCTGAAACAACTCTCAAAACACGTATGAGATATTGTTGTGTGAAATCTTGCCCGAATTTTCGTGGAACAACTGACCAACATATTTATTTCTTCAAGTGAGTTATAAATTACAAAAAAATATTAAATAATATTTTTCTCTGTGCATCAAAAACTGATAAAATACTATGATTAAAAAACTTCGCAGTCTGCCAATTCGCAACTCACCGGAAGTTCGTGCCCAATGGGAATTGGCTGTTACTGGCAAGCAAACTGGCAACTTTTATTGTGGCAGGATTTGTGAACGTCATTTCAGACCCGAAGATATCCATTCCTACGGACCACGAAAAAACTACTTGAAAGATGGAGCTATTCCCGTGTATCATATGTATGTGTTAAAATTGTTCATAAAAAATTCCACAAAAAATCATTTCAAACTCAATCTTATTTTCATAATAGCCATGATAATAGCTCAAACGATACACCAGCGGCCCAATTGAAACTTGTCAATATTGAAACAATTAAAAACAAAACGAATGATACCGAATCGGTTGATGGCATGTGAGTAAAATGAATGATTTTTAGTATTTATGGCAAGAAAAAGCTAAATTTTATCAAATATCACGATAGAGTACAAAATCCACCGAAGGATAAATTAAATATAGTCGATATTAATGCGACCACAAACCAAACTAATGGACCCAATTTGGCTAGTAACAAGTGAGTAAATTTTCACACTTTTTTTCAACTCATCATTGATATTTGTGGATATTTTTCAGAGTCTCCAAACAGTCGAGTTTTTGTGTAAATTGCGCTCAGAAAAACGTACAACTACAAGCGGCCAAAATAAAAATTGAATCGTTAAAAGCGAAAATACACGATTTGGAAACGAAAAACCAACAACTTCGGAATCAAACCAAAAGACTTGAACCAGGGCCAGCTAATAATAGTATTAGAGAGGACAATCCAATGGAACCGGAGAGTATTGCCACTAAAAAGTGTAGCCTTTGCAAGGTGGTGCTAACACCATCTGAATTCTATAAACATTTATGCCTTGATCAAGATACAATTCAATGTACATTTTGTGTACCAAGGAAATCATTCAAAATAACTGCCAATTTTCTGAAACACATTGCCTGCTATCATCCGGAAATATTGAAAAACGTTGATACACGGACATTATACAAATGCAACTACTGTGCAGTTATCTTTCCAATGGAAGTGATGATGAAATGTCATCAAAAATCCCATGAAACCATTACTCAGTATCATCAACAAGTAGAGCAGGTGACTTTCAAAGATGAGTCTGTGGAAACGATGTCAATTGACGAATCGACTTCGGAAAGTGTTTTTGATTTACCCGAATCTTCTTATGTACCTGAGAAAATCTATGCTAAAGAAGAAGCGGATGACGAATTGGGCACTTATTTTGTGTCAGTCAAAGAAGAAGTTGATGACGAAATAATTGAACCAATCGAACCGTCAACATCAAATGAAATGACCATATTGAAAAATGATGAAGTGAAATCATCAAAAGTAGTGCAACACATCAATAAATGTAAAAAAAATTCACGATTTTTTATCATGCATAACATTTATTTTGATTTCATTTTGAATGTTTCAGATTTCAAGTGCGGTATATGTGACATGGCGTTTGAGGAGCCGGTTCAATTGAAAACCCATATACGAGATGAACACTCCATACGTAAACGTAAATTCATTTCTGATCCATAATCCATATAGCGAGACATAACAATTTTTTTTAATTTCTTTTTATTTTGAACCCATTAGAATTCAAATGCGAAAAATGCAACATGACATTTGGAATGGTAGAGTTAATAGGTTCTCATGTGTGTGATGCAGATTCCAAAATTGAAGAAGGTTCGTTGAACATATTTTAAATGTAATCTTCATATCTCTATCGTTTATGATCATTATTTGATTGATTTTTCATTGGATTTTTATAGCCTCAAAATGCAATGAAAGCGGTATGGAATTAGAAAAACCACGACAAAAAAGGCGCATTGCACGTATGAAATATTTTCAATGCTATCTATGTAAAATTGATATGGATTCTAAAGAGGCGCTTCGGATGCATATGAAGCTACATTCGCGAGACCATCTATGTGACGTCTGTAAAGTGGCATTTACTTTGAAAGAATTGAACTATCATTTGTGCGACAATGAAGGAAGCATTTGTTGTGAATATTGTCAACAAACTTTTACTACAACAATTAAATTGTTAGAACATCTCAAATCACACCAAAAAAAGAAGTTGTATCGATGTGATGAATGCTTTAAATTACTTCCAATGATCAAACTAAAACAATACCATATGAGACTATCACACACACAGCCAAAATTGTTCACTTGTACAATATGTTCCAAGGCGTTTACAACAAAATCGCTACGAAATATTCACGAAAAATCACACAATGCCGTAAGATGTAAGAATCAACTTTGGGTCACAACTTAAATGATTTGCTTATCGTTTTGTTTTGTTTTTTTTTCAGCCCATCTCTGTGATGAATGTGGACGAGGGTTTCGATCCGCTCGAAATTTGAAATTACATAAAGAGTCAAGTATGCATGTGGCCGAGGCACTTTTTCAGTGTCCCGACTGTCCACATAAATGCTACAGAAAAGATCAGTTGAAACGACACCGTAAAGTCCATATTCAAGATAGTTTCGTTTGCGAGATCTGTAGCGCCCAACTTCCATCCATGAAAAGTTTATTGGGGCATATGACACGACACACGAGAACTGAGGCCAACCGAAAATATGCCTGCTCACTGTGCCCGAAGAAATTTTTTTCATCAGAAGTATTGAAGAGTCATCAGGCTGTGCATGGTACTGCCAAATGTAAATAGCACCATCACTTTATTTGCGTTTTTGACCTTATTAATTTAGACTATTTATAATTCTTTGCAGTACACGCTTGTCAATATTGTGAACAATCTTTTAAATATGGTGGAGACTTGCATAAACATTTGAAAATACATCTTGGCGAACTGCGGTATCAATGTGAGAAATGCGACAAACGATTCAAATATAAAGTAGAAGCAGTTAAACATGAATTTGAGCACTATAAACAAGAAAAAAGTGAAAGAAATGAAATTGAATAGTGTTCTGGGTCTGGTTCAGTTTTTTATTCTAATATGAAATAAATTGTTTGGGAAAGTAATTAAAAATCAGATCAAACTAAGACAGTATCACAAGAAAACGATCACGGAAAATAAGATGCTAAAAGGCATAAGATACAGCATAAAATAGGAATCAAATAGTAAATAATTTGAAAGCACGATAAACCAAATTTGATCGGCAAAGAAGCGATAAGAATTCTGTCTAAAATGATAAAAAAATAAAATTCACGTATAGTTGGCGCTACATTCTTATTGCATAAGCGTATACTTTCCACTTAGTCCGTTGCAACGGAAAACAAGTTTGCATAGAATGCAGCGCCAACTATATGTAAATTTTATTTTTCATCGTTTTAGACAATAAATCTATGGTTTTCTTATGGCTTCTTTGTTGTAGAAACATTTTCTATGGCAAAAAACATAACCCGGTTCAATTTTGTATACTTTAATGTTAGAATAACGATCAATTTTTAAAAACGTTTTAAAAAATAAAATAAAAGAATATAAATTCAATCTAATTTTCTCTTTTCTTTTAAACTTCATTATCTCTTGATTTGTTTATGAATATTTTTATATGTATGGAGACTTGGTAATATTTCAACGCAACTTCTCAGTGAGCGTTCTCTTATATTGGTAATAAAATGTATCAATGTGTAGAATGTGAAAATATAAATCACACCTTGTCAAACATGAGCTAATACATTAAAATGGAAAGGAAGCCTCAACTAACCAAAAGAATTATGTTCAATTTTTTAAGATCGTATGAGCTGAAAAAAATAAAAAAAATATATATTCTATACAGAGGCATTATTTCATAATTTTTTGTCATGGTAACAAATTTCAAAACCATCTTTCGAATCATGTTATTTTGGCGCCACAAATATTCAGCGACATACACGCCTCAAATCGGAACTACAGAAACGTCAACTATTTTTCATTTGACAGAATCAGACAGAATTGCAACCGACTGAAATATAAACATTTGATGAGAATAGCACACCATGTCGTCGTGTAAAATAAAAAACTGTACTTCAAAGTCGAAATTGTTTTTTCGGTAAGTAATATTATTAGCTTTGAGTATATATAATAACTCATACTCAAAGACATTTTCATTTCATCTTTCTGCTGTTATTTTCAGACTCCCAGCCGAATCAAACGCACGCAATCGATGGATCGAAGCTATCGAGGAGCATCAAAAGTTTGATGATAGTGTCGGGGTGTATTTTGTGTGCATAAATCATTTTGCAAAAAAGGAGGTCCGCCGTGGTGAAAAAACAATCTTGGTACATGAATCAGTGCCAAGCATTTTTCCGTAAGTAACTATTTTGAACCTATTTTGGATTTTTCCATATTTAATGCGGCCAACATTGATTTATTTCAGAAGAAAAATTCAAAAGGTCAACCAATCATTGCCGATAAAAATTCCAAATGTGACCAAATCATCGCCGATTAAAATTGAAAATGTAATGTCATTGCCGATAAAAAGAAAAGCAAACGTTTTGAATGTAACGATTAAACAAGAAAACTTTGAAGGTGAACCAGAGAAATATTTGGCCACAAAGTAAGTTTCAACCATTTTATTTGCAAGCGTTTTTTTCTAATGATGCTTTTATTTCTGCAAAAGTTTAACTGCGCCCAGTCGTCAACAAGTGAAATTAGTGGATATTGAAAAGCTAAAAAGTGCTTCAGTATTGAATGAGATGGCTACAACAAGTAAAAACCCAGTCGAAAAGAAGTCGTAAGTTCAAAATAATTTTTGGTGCAAATTGATTTCAATTTTCAAACAAAATCCTTTTACATTTCATTGGTTATTAGGACGGGAACTCCGACCAAAATGTGTGTCAATTGTGTTCAATTGGATGTAAAATTGCAAGAGGCCAACTCTACAATAAGGTCAATGAAACGAAAAATCTCCGAACTTACAGCTGAATTGAAACGATTTACACATAGCGTTTATATGAAATCTTTGGATAAGTGTAAAATATGTGCTGGTTACATGAAAAAAGAAGAGATAGATCAACATATATGCACTAAACAAGAAACAATCAAGTGCAAATATTGCCCGGAGACATTCAAATCAATTCAAAAACTTGTCGATCACCTAAAAATGCCCGATCACGTTGATCTTATTAAAGAAGGTACTGGTACGTACTATAGATGTCAGGTAAATCTTGTTCATATCTTGGTTAGTTGATAATTTCTTTAAAACTTCGAATTCAAATTCTTCGGAAATTACTCTATCAAAAAATAGATATGCCCAATTGGATATCCAATGATTGAACTGTTGCAGTGCCACAAAAAATCACATAATATTATCAGACCGGAACCAACAATAGCACAGCCAAAGCAAGGAGAAAAAGCTCAGACGACGGTCGAGGAGACTATTTTATCGTCAGAAAGATCCACTATAAAATGTATATCCATACCATTTGTTTTTGCAATTAATTTTTCATTCTAATCGTCTATGTTTTTGCAGTTTTCAAGTGTGCCAAATGTGATATGTGTTTCGATGTACCGGGCGATCTTTTGAGCCACAATCGGCAATATAGTTGTGACGTTGATTTCGAAAGCGGAAAATTTCAATGTTTTGTGTGCAACAAAATGTTTGACAAAATAGCATTACTGCAAAAACACATGAACACCGTACATGACAGAAGTAAAGCATGTGAAATTTGCTCAAAAAAGCTTGACACCGATGAACTTTCGACGCACATATGTGGAAATGAAACCACTATTCAATGTGAATATTGTCACAAAAACTTTACATCAACGATTGATCTATTGAAACACTTGGACAGTTCGGATGAAAAGAAAAAAATGTATCGATGTGATGTGTGCCTGGAATTTTTTCCCATGATGATTCTTAAGCACCAGCACATGACACAGCACACCGAAACGTCAAAATCGTTTATGTGCCACATGTGTTCAGAGACGTTTGTCACTTCAACGCTTCTTTCAAATCACGAAAGAAGTCACCGGCGAAGAGAGGTTCAAAAAAAAGTTAATAATGAACCCAAGAAAGGTAATATTCAATTTAAAAATATGATTTAATGGATTCGCTTATCGGTTTGTTCTCAATTTCAGAATACCTATGCGATGAGTGCGGTAAGAGTTTTTCTTCGTCATCGAATTTGTCATTGCACCGGTATACTCACAGTGAGCCACAGTTTAAATGTACCCAATGTCCACGACAATTTACACGCTTGTCAAGATTTAACATACATCTTGAGAAACACAAACACTTGGTATACATTTGTGAATTGTGTCAAGTTGAACTGCGAACAAAACATGGCTATGAAAAACATATGAAGAGACATAAACGAACCGAAGCCGATCGACGATATGAGTGTAGCATTTGTTCTCGCAAATTTTTCGATAGAAAACATTTAAACAGCCACAAACTAGTTCACACTTCAGAAAGACGTAATTATAACAAATATTCTTTTCTTTGCATATTACTTTTTCTTCCGATCTTTTTTTTCGCAATCTCATTAAGATTATTTCTTTGTTCTCGTTTTTTAGCGTTCAAATGCAAACATTGCCATGTAGCCTACAAGTATAGTGGCGACTTGCATAAACATCTTCGAACACACACAACGGATGGAAAAATACATCAGTGTACCAAGTGTGCCGACCGTTTTTACTATTATGAAGAGCTAAGCGATCATTTGCTTTACCATTATAAAAAAGAAAAAGAGCAAAACAATTCTTAAGATCGCTATGGCGATTATTTTTAAGCGTTAAATAAATTCAAACAATTATGTAAAATAGTGTTCTCTATTCTTAATTCAAGATTGATTTGAAATTTTCACATTTTCTTTTTATGAAAGGAATTAACCCCATTAATTTGAATTTGGTTTTCCATCCTTTTTCGTCCGTAGATCAATTGCTGAAATAAAAAAGTATACTCTTCGTACAGGTGATATTTATTCAATAATTTTTCTCAACTCAAATTACTTACAATGAATTCGTAGAGAATGTTTATTTAAATTTCCGATGTTCGCACTCTTGTAGTCGCACTGACTGCATGCATATGGCTTTGAATGAAAAAATGAAATAATTGTAAATTGTCGTTATATTGGTGTAATTGGGTTGGTTTTTACCTTTTCATTTGTATGCGTACGTTCATGAACCTACAATAATTTATGTGCATTTGTTATTTAAACATTTGTATTTAGAATCTATAATCTATCAAGAGCAGACAATATATTTAGCTGCCGTCATCTGGATATTTCAGCTCATCTGGATGCCGTCAGCAGATGATACAAAGTGAAAACAATAGAAGTGATTGTTATAGGTATATAAGCTTGTTATATACTGGTATTACTATAACAATCAATTCTATTGTTTTCACTACGCATCATCTGCTGACGGCATCCAGATGAGCTAAAATATCCAGATGATGGCAGCTAAATATATTGTCTGATCAAGAGTAGTATACCTTTTTAACGATCCTATGCTTGAACTTTTTATCACAAAAAGTACACTCGAATGGAAAATTATTTGTATGCACTATGATGTGGTATTTCAGTGCTTGTTTTGTACGAAATCTACTGTCACATATTGTGCACTTCAGTGGCTTATCATCTCCATGATATTTCAGATGGATTTTTAGATGTCGTTTCGTCGTGAATTTCTTATCACATTGGTTGCAAGCCACTGATTTCTCAACATTGTGCATTGACTCCACATGATGTTTTAAATTACACTTTTGGCGAAAAGTGGACCCGCATTTATCACAAACATAGTCACATTTTCCTGAAAATGGAATAACATATTATTCTTATCATACAATGATTTTTGGATAGGATAGATGCGTAAGATCTCCGCAAGATCCGGATCCAAGCGTGCGTACGCTGCCGCATGATGCATACATATATAATACGCATACAAATTCGTTATTCTTATTTCGCCTACTTTGATTCGCATGCCATAGCATTACGGAATAACGAATGTATGTATCATGCGGCTACGTACGCACACTTGGATCCGGATCTTGCGGATCTATTCTATCCAAAAATCATTGTATGATTCTTATCAAATGTAATTGAATCTCCTGGTTTAAGATCTAATCATCTAATAATTGCTTTAAATCGTCCATATTAAACGTAACATACCGGAATGATTAATCATGTGACTCTTGATTCTGTCTTTGGTAGCAAATGTCTTCGAGCAAATATCACAAATGAATTCACCCCAATTTTTCTTCAAATGTGTCTGTGACACATGTGTGTACAACAAATCCCGGCTATATAAAATGTGCTGGCAAATTTCACATTTGTATTGAACGTCTTTGTGGGTACTACGATGTTTAATCAATTTTTGTACATCCCAAAAGTATGCGGTACAGTAAAAACATCTAAAACGAAAGGTGAATTTCATAAAAATACATCGTCTGCGGTGTCTGAAGTAGTGAAAAGAAATTACTTGAATTTTAAATGAGGAAAATGGTCGTCGGCGATGTGTCGATCAAGAAGATATTCACGTTTATGCTTTGCGTTGCAATAAAAACAGCAAATTTCATTTGAAAGAAGTTCTTCGACATGAACTGATCGATTGTGTGCGAAGAAATTTTGTGGACTTTTGAAGGTTTTGTCACATTTTTTACAGATGTACTGGCAATCGTTCCATGTCATGGTCATATCAGGAAATTCTGTCTCAAGTTTGGCAACACCGGTTTCGCTTATTTTACCATCAGCCAAACGGTCGTTAACAGTCAATAGGGCTAGGAAGGAGTCTGGATTTGTGTTTGTTTTTTCAGCAGTTTTTTTGAATACTTTTTCACGTTTTTTGAAGTTCTTTTGTAAACTTTCACAATTCGATCGAATAGACGGTGGATTGAAAGCAGATGCTTGAAGATTTTCAAATTCGGGTGAACACTCTATTTCTTCTTTTACTACCTCTTTGATCTGAACAACGGGTTCATTGCCGATTGATTGGCGTGAAAGTATATGGAGTTTTTCTGCGGCCAGTCGAATCCGTTCAGAAAAATTCCAACTTCTTTGAAGCTCATCAACACATAACCGACACGCTTTTTGAGGCATTTGCCATTCATTTTCTGATAACCTCCAACCACAACAGAACATTAATTTTGGACATAATTCTGATATATCTGCAGTTGCTTCAAGATCATCTATGCGATTGGCACACAAACGACACAAAGACAACATTTTCTCTCTTTCGCAATATTTCAATATTTCAGTGTCGTATTTAGCGAACCGAAAAAAATACTGGCATATTTGTTTACAGCATTTGACGTTTAAAATGTGAAACTGACGTTTCGTTGACAGCTGTGTTGTCGCCACTGATTTTTATAAAATGTGAAATAAATAACATCAAAAGATTTTTATTATTGTACTTTTTATTGAGTTATCTCCATGTTTCATTTGTTATTTGTCGAACATTTATATCATGATTTTCGAAACTTATGACCAAAGTTTTCATCTTTAAATTCAATGATTATTTATATGGTATGAAACAAAATCTAATTCGCTTGTTCAGGTATACTGGTTTCTGTGGCCAAGAGGTTTCCTTTTTTTATTCTCAAATCAATTGCTGTAAAATTGGTGTAAATCACATTAATTTTGTACTTTGTACTTTGTCATTTTTCGAATTGCAATCCTACTCACAGTGAATCCGCATTGAATGTTTATTCAGATTGGGCCAATTTGTCGATCGATAAGCACATTGACCACATGCATATGGTTTATCATTTTTGTGTGCGCGTTCATGAGTCTGTAGATTGGACCAAATCAATGAGAAACTTTTCAAATTCGTAATTGTTGAATTTGATTGAAATGTTAGAAATTTACCCTTAGGCTGCTCGTATGACGAAACTTTTTCTCACAATATTTACAACTATAGGGATACGTATTATTATGGCTTCGCATATGAACCGTCAAATCATACTGCTTGCGGACCCTTTATATATTAATAAGGTTTAGGATTAATACATTAATAGGGCAATATATAATAGGGACAATATATTCTTGACGAAACCTTTTATGACACACCGTACACTCCACTTTCTTTAATCCTGAATGCATTTCATCGTGGCTTTTTAATTGGTGTTTTGTCTTGAATCTAAACAAACACGAAACGAAATCATATTAGAACATTGAAATTTAGTGAAAAACAGATCCGGCTCTCACCTTCTTTCGCACTGTTTACAAGCAAATGGTTTTTCATCCGTATGTGTCGTTTCCATGTGACCTTTCAGATTTCCCTTGGTTTTGTGGAAAATATGATAATACATCATAGTTCAATTGTTTTTATTTTAATCGTAATAATTCAAATCCTATCACCTTTTTGACTTTACAAATTGTACAAAGTTAGAACAAAAAGTACCTTGGTTTTGAACTTCCAACCACATTGATCGCATACATAGTCAAATTTCTCTGTAAACAGAATATTAAATAAACAACATTTCCTTAGAGAAAGAGAGAAGAATCAAATGGAGACAAAACTCACTGGTATGTTGTAGCATGTGAGTTTTGATGCCCCATTTTGTGACAAAATCTTTATTACAAAGTTCACATGTGTATTTTGCATCCGGATCGGTATATTTCTTCTTTAGATGAATCTGTGAAACGTGCGCATATAAAATATCACGATTACAGCAAACTAATTCGCACACTTCGCACTTGTATTCAACGTCTGTATGCATATTTTGATGTTTCATTTGTTCACGAGGATCCCAAAAATAGTCCGGACAATAATAGCATCTGAAAGGGATTTTGATTATGAGATAGAAATATGTTTGAATGATTTTACAAGTTTTTGGGTTGCATATTCAAATTCGAATAGATATACCAAATGGTACCTGTATTTCAAATGGGGAAAGTGTTCCACAGCCATGTGACGACTTAAAAAATGTTCACCTTAAAAATGGAGTTAAACAAATTGGCTCCTATCAGCATATTGCTTTCAGAATTTGAGCACCAATAATGCTTCGAAGTCTACTTACGCCTATGTTTGGAATTACAATAAAAACAGAAGAAATCCATCGTTGGAGTTTCTTCCAGGTGAAACGATCGATTATGTGCAAAAAAGTTTTGTGGACTTTTAATGATTTGATCGCATTTTTTGCAGATGTATTTGCATTCGTTCCATATTATCGTTTTCATTTCAGGAAATAGTTTTTCAAGCCTGGCAACAGCACTTGCACGTATTGTGCCGTCGGCCAGTTGATCTTCGTCATAAACTGCGGCCATAAATGAGTCACATGTTGAGCTCGCTTTCTCTTCCACCTTTTTCGCTGACTTTTTACTCCTTCGAATTGTTTTTTTGGCATGTGTACTGTCGAAATCTGATTTAATAATAGGTTCAACGAATAATTCGGTGTCAAATTGTTGATGATCTTCATCTGTTTCAGATCTGTTATCCGGCTCATGTTTTATTGAATCATCGATAATTCCTTCAACATACGACATGGGATCGATATCAGTTTGTGGATGCACTTCACTGGCCAATTTAATGAGTTGCTGTTGTGCAGCCCATATACTTTCGGCAAAATTCCAACTTTGTTGAAGATTTTCCACGCACAAATTGCATGCTTTATTTGGCATCATTTCTGCATCATTTTCTATTGGTTTCCATCCACAACAAACTTTCAATTTTGATGTTATATCACACACTTCAGTCGTTAAATCGGACGCATTCGTATGTTTCGCACACAATCGACACAATGAAAACATTTCGCTGGAAAAACGTTCTGTTTGGGCACGATTCAGGTGATTTTCAATGAGTATTTTTTTTTGTTTACAAATTCGATTTGACGTTTCATGCGATTACAGTATGACGTTTCATTGACAGTTACAATGTGTTGTCGCTGTACACATCTGAAGTGTTATATTTTGTCTATTGTTTCGAATACATTTTATTCGTTTAGTGTAACAAAATTCCAAAAAATGATACAATGGGCTGAATTATTGTGAAAATTATTTTGTGCTAAAAGAAATTTATTTTAATTTTCAAATGCCGCTGCATTAATTATTAAACAACAAATCATTAATTTTATTTGGATAATATGACGCATTTTGCAGCTAACAGGATTTTTTATTTTCTCAAGTCAATAGCTGACAAATTTATTTTCCTCCGATAGTACCGTAAAATCGATCAAATTTGCATATATTTGCATCATTTTCAAAAATATTATTTCAAACAACAATTTTTTAAAATAAATTAGTATGAATGAATTAGTAAGATGTGAAAACCGCCCGCTTCTAATGCAAAATATATTTTATTGTAAGAAAATTTTGAAAACACACTCCTGAATGCATGCAAATGAATATGTAATTTTTAATTCAAACTTATTTTTGAAATTTATTATTTATTATTGAATGGAAGTTTATGTATTTAATTTGTTGATAGCTTGTCCAATGATTTCAAAAGCAGTACGATAATTTTTGGCGTTCGGCCGTTATTTACATAAAAAGGAAAATAAGGGCACACTGATACAACTAATAAAAATTCACGCGTTGTTGAAAAAAATTGATTGATAGTTAAAAACATGCTTGGAGGCAAAGTGATACACTTTGTTGGGTGTAAAGTGATACAGAGGTATTTGGAATGAAATTTATCATTTCTAAAATATTTCATTCACCTTTTTTATATTTTATGTATTTTCTCTTAAGATATGATGGTTTTTTCTATAATAATTTTTTCAGCGTCTGGGCGCAGCTATTTTTATTTTTAATCCGACAGTCGTGAAACTTTGGGAAAGGTAAAATGGTTTTGGTGTATAATAATGGGAAATTGGCTGACAAAAATGGGGAATTGACCCCCCCCCCCCCAAAAAAAAGTAGGGAAATGGCTGTCAAAAATGGTGCGTTTGGTTGTGACAAATGGGGAATTGGCTGTCAAAAATCTAGCTTTTGGTTGTCAAAAATAGGAAAATTTGGCTGTTAAAAATGCGCCGATAAAAAAAAAAACGAAAAAAATGTGTAAAAATTTCTTGAAAGTAAGAAAAAGTAATATTATTCGATGCAATTTGATACTTTAATTACATTATATTAATTCCATCTGCTCGCCGGTTAATATCAGATAGCGTTTATATAATCTTCCCCATTTTTGGGGGGTCAATTCCCCATTTTTGTCAGCCAATTTCCCATTTTTGACACACGTTTACCCTTTGCCTTTGGGAAACTTAATTTTCTGCGAAAAAAATGATCTAGACAAAATATATTTTTTTTTTTCCATTTTATTATAATTAATTTCTTCTTCGGGGACAGTGCAACCCGGATACATTGAGGTGGTTGAAATAAAACACTTTGTTTTTTTAAACAGATGGCTACAAACACTTGCACTGTTTGAAAACTCTTCTTTTGGTTTGAAACCATCTGCAAATATCATTCCCGGTGGACGATTATCGATCCTATATACAATATTGAAAGTATCACAGTAAGAGTTAAAAATATCACAGTTAGTTGTATTATCGCAATCATGAGTACTATCACATCTTGGGCATTTTTCACCCCCACTGCTTCCTTCCACGCAAGCGCCAAGGACTCGTGGGGTCTCCGAGGCATCATGGTTTTCGGGCCTCACTGCAGTCACTCAAATAAAAGAATTACCGCTTAGAGGGTTTTGATTATTCTGCAGTGGGTCTCTTCCTCTAAGCTATCCTTTATCTTCATTGCATTTCGTTTATATTTAAAGTCCTTTATCGGCCCGACCTTATTGAGAGTATAGTCAAGTTTTTCGTCAAACACAAAATTCCTATAAATCAACAATTTTTTGGAAAAATGGGTCACCTTTGGGGCGAATTCACCCTTCTTATATTGAAAGATATCGACAAAACGAGTATGCCACGTTGAAGAGGACATCAAAAGACAACAAATACTTTTTACAGAGCTTGATTGTCCAAAAAATGCATTGTTCAGTCCAAATTATTTTTCAAAAAAATTCAACATTTTCAAAAAAAAAAAATTCAAAATCAAAATTAGGGGTACCTCAGGACGTAGGTGAAGATATAAAAAAAAGAGTTTTTTTTTTCCTTGAAAAAAAATTGAGATTTTTTTTATGAAATAG